ATAAGATTTCAATATATGACATTGTTGTCTGTGATGCCGTAGCGCTCATGATAGGTGATCAGGTGATGCATCATTTGATTAAGTTGTGTTTAATTTCTTGGACAGTGCATTACTTAAAAGAATCTCTCTGTGTATCTTATCTAGGTTCCTGCAGATGGAATCTTGATAAACGGTCATTCTCTTGCCATTGATGAATCTAGCATGACAGGGGAAAGCAAGATTGTAAGCTGGTTAGACCTTCTTGAGCAAAATATTTTAGATTGTTGACATTATTTTTCTCAAGTGTGCCATCATTTCGTAGGTTCACAAAGACCAGAAATCACCATTTTTGATGTCAGGTTGCAAAGTAGCGGATGGTGCTGGAACTCTGCTGGTAAGATAGAAGCTTTTGCCCTCCAGATTTCTGTAATTGAACCACAGTACCACACTATATGCTGAATATACTTTTCCTTTTGGGTGTATATTATCATAAGCCTTTGTTTCGTTCTTTTAATCACTACATTAGTGATGGTTTTCTGGGAGAGAGTAGAGATTGCGTGATTTACAGAGGTAGTAGCCATACTATGGAATTATGGGAGATGATGATTGAACACAGATTAAGGATCTATTCAAAGATCTCAGGAAATCAGTTAAATTATGCTAAGGATTTACTGTGGAAGCCATTGATCTACTGAGGAGATCGATAGAGAAGTATAGAGAACAAAAAAAAAAGATTTGCATATGGTTTTGATTTAGGAAAAGCCTATGATAGGCTGCCAAGAAAAATGTTTCGGAGGGTTCTAGAGTGAAAACATATGGCAATTATGGACATGTTATGGAGCAGTCACGAGCATGAGGTGTAGTGACACTACTATAAGTTTGCATTAAGGTTCCACCTTAAGTCCCTATCTTTTATTTTATGAGCTAAAAGAGCATTAATTGTAAGTTAGAACTTTGAAGAAGTACCTTGGAATTTATATGTTTTTTGGTGAAAGTAAACTTAAGACATAATAGATGCAATACCAATTTAGTAATACTAAAAGTAACAATAATAATGGACTCTCTACAAAGAATCATGGTGTCCTTAAGAGTGAGTGATTGTTTTAAGTATTTATGTCAAATTTTAATAAGGTAGGAGAAATATAAGAGAATGAAACACAGTGGATGAGAACAAGAACAAGTTGGATGAGATGGACTTGTGTCAGATGAAGATTTCTACAAGGTTAAAGGCCAATTCTGTATAACAGTTAATAAACCTGCTATGTTTTATTGCATTCAGTGTTGAGCTGATAAATCATAAATGACAAGATGTTCATAAACAAAATGTAGCGAAAATGAGGATTTTGAGATGGATATAGAATCGTACTAGAATGGATAAGATAGAAAAATGAGAATGTATGTCAAGAAGTAGAGGTGATATCAATTGAGCATACTAAGGGAAAGGCAAGTCAGGTAGCTGGGACATTTCTTGCATGAACCTATTGAAACTCCCTTTCATAAAATTATAAAAATGACACCATGCCAATATAACAGGTTAAAAGAGGGGGTAGATCAAAACTAACATGGCTTATAGTAGGTGCTAATAAACTACTTGCTTTGGATCTTTAAGAAGATATAGCAACGAACCATTCGGAGCAGCAAAAAGGATTCACGCTACCAAATTTAAGGGGAATAAGGCTTATTTTGTTGTTCGTAATCTGCATAAACTTTTTGGCTGAGTGTCCAACATATCCCTATTTTCCTCATTTGTAATTTATTATGAAATTGTGCAGACTATTGTTTTGGGGGCTTAATTAGGTATCTATTCTTGTTAGGTAACTGGTGTGGGAATTAATACTGAATGGGGATTGTTGATGGCTAGTATTTCAGAAGATACAGGGGAAGAAACACCTTTGCAGGTAATTATCACGAAATGACGCTTCTTATCATCAGTAGTTACTTAAAATGGATCATAGATATTTATAGCTTCAGATGACATAATGTAGGTACGCCTGAATGGGGTTGCCACTTTCATTGGCATAGTTGGACTGACTGTGGCTCTTTCTGTGCTCATTGTTCTCTTTACCAGGTAAGTTCAACAATTTTGGTTTTGGCTACTTACATGGTTCACATTCTTAGTTACCATGAGATTAAACCTTCTCAGGTTTTTCACTGGGAATTCAAAAAATGCTGACGGATCCGTTCAGTTTGTACATGGGAAGACTAGCATGGGTCAAACTGTTGATGGAGCCATAAAAATTATAACAGCTGCAGTGAGTTCTTGCATTCTGTATTATTGAAATCGTCAATAATGTCTTTTCTGCTTACTGACAGCAGTGTTGTATAGGTCACAATTGTGGTTGTCGCAGTCCCAGAAGGCCTTCCTCTGGCTGTAACCTTGACGTAAGTATCATAAAATGTGCTTGTTCTCGGTCAACTATTTCCTTCTTGTTCACGTCCACTTCAGTGTTCATTGATTGTCGTTTTGTCTTTGAAATAACAACAGCCTAGCGTACTCTATGAAGAAAATGATGGCTGACAAGGCTTTGGTATGTACAAAAATTGTTTTATTCGTCAAATTTCTATCTGTATGTTATGAAACTATATCTGTACATGCAATTTCCACATATTATGCCTTTCTCAGTGATATTGTTAACCACTACTGGTCTTCAGGTGCGTAGGCTTTCAGCTTGTGAAACTATGGGATCCGCAACAACCATTTGTAGTGATAAGACTGGAACTTTAACCATGAATCAGGTCATCATTCATTACTTTTAGGCTCTTTAGTTTGTTAAGAATAAAAATTATGTAGGACATGGTGAACAGAGAGAGACTTTTATTCATGTATTTATTTTATTTTTAATTCTTACTTAAGAGTAACTAATCTTGGAAAGCTATACCTTGATACAGATGACAGTAGTTGAGGCCTATATTGGGAGTAAGCAAATTGATCCTTCTGAGGATGGCACACAGCTGAATGCAGCAGTTTCCTCTCTTCTAGATGAGGGAATAGCTCAGAATACTGCAGGCAGTGTATTTCCATCTAAGGTACTCGTTTTTCTCCCTTGTGCATGTCTTCTAGCTTTCGCCCCTGGCTGCAAGGGGATAAAGTTAATCCAATACAAGTTGTCAAAGAGTCTTTTACATCATTGGAATTTTTTGAAGGGGAATGATACTAGTAGTGGACTAGTGGTTATAGTTAGTAGAGTGCGAGACACCTGATGATCTATCCCTCAGACATGTAATATATAATTGGTGCCGGATGTTCATTTCCACTTCACGTTTATGTGCAAACATTTCCAACTCTTGGTCATGATCTCAGAGTTGTACTTTCAGCATGATTTCATTTTGATTGTTTAGCATCGTGTTCATTTTAGAGCTGCTGATGGCTGCTTGCCTGTTGCCTCCTTTTGACTTCAATATAAAATTTACCCGTTATTCATATTGCATGTTCATTGTGTCTTTTCGTTTGTTTATAGGATGGTGCAGGAATAGATGTTTCTGGATCTCCCACTGAAAAAGCTATTCTTCATTGGGGTGTCAAGGTAATTCTGGTGTAGATACTAGCACTATGGTTTCAAGTTTCATCATTATTGTAACTCATTATCTGTATGATTTTAACTTTGTTATGCAGTTGGGGATGAAGTTTGATGCCGTTAGATCCGAATCTATTATTCTCCATGTTTCTCCTTTTAATTCCACTAAGAAACGAGCCGGTGTTGCATTACGAGGACGGGTAACTGATTTGTTCTACTTTCCACCTCGTCACTTCAACTAAGATCTTTGATAAATGTCATTATCTCTGAATATTTGTATAGATGTTTAGTCTAATTAATGGGTGTTCATTAATTTTGTCAAGAATCAATTTGATGTAACAAAATAATCCATTGAGCCTTGTTTATTTATCTGTTAAGCGAAACTCATGGTTCAAAGAACTTAGATTTTTTTACTATGTAAGATGTCACTTAACAAAGCATTCCATGGACTGTATTATTGCATCCTTCTAGTTGAGTGTAAAAATCAATTTTGAGTATATCTTTCTTATTTTATGGCAGACTGACTCTCAAGTTCATCTACACTGGAAGGGAGCGGCCGAAGTAATTTTAGCCTCATGTTCACAGTTTATGGATGCAGATGGTAGCTTGCAGTCTATTGATGAGGATAAGAAGGTTAGCACAAGATACAAACTTTTAGTTTAAGGAAACTTGGATCTTTACTTGAAACCGGAAAAAAATAAAAGCAAGACAAGGAAATAAAATTTAAGTTGCCACAAAGCACAAGTTCCAAAAGCATAAAACAAAGACGAATGGAGCTGAAGGTCTGCTATTTTCTTCAATAATCTTTTTCCTTTAGTATGAAAATAAGAGAAAACTCATTACAATTTGCAGATAATATAGTTCATCCAAACTTTGGTTGGTAATCATAATTGGTATTACAGGTTTTTTTCAAAGATGCTATTGAAACTATGGCTGCAAAAAGCTTGAGGTGTGTTGCCATTGCTTACAGAACATATGAAACAGACAAGGTTCCGGCCAATGATGAACAGCTAGAACAATGGACTTTACCAGAAGATGATCTTGCTTTGCTTGCAATTGTTGGTATAAAGGTGCGAACTCTGAAGAGTTATATGAATTCTTATTTTCAAGGCATCACGTAACTTTTATGTGTCCATTTGTAAATGTTGTTGCAATGTACAATTTTTTTTTAAGGCAAACTAGGAAAAAATTTAGATTTCTATTCACTGCAAATTCATTTTCTTTTATTATATATATATATATATTTTTTTTTTGTTTTAACACAAACCATTTCACAGGATCCTTGCCGTCCAGGTGTCAAAGAAGCAGTGAAACTATGTTCAGATGCTGGCATTAAGGTATTCTTTGATAATATCAAAATTATATCTATACTGGGAAATTGTGTAAGTTGGTAGCTACCATAAGATCCAAACCTTTGTTAACAAACAAGAACAACTGTTAACACAGCCAGTTGATTTGCATATGCACCCCATCCCATTTGGCCTTTGTGGCACTTTAAAGTCAATTTCTTACATGTAATTTTTACAATTTTTTAAGTTTGTCCGAACATACTCCAAAATTTGGTTTCGATGCACGTGCTTGGAAGAAGTATTTAGGCCCTGTTCGGGAGGGATTAAAAGCCAATTAAAATTGAAAATATGGCCGTTATTGGGTCCCACTCGTCTAATAAAAGTCAATAATAACGACTATATTTTNGGAAATTGTGTAAGTTGGTAGCTACCATAAGATCCAAACCTTTGTTAACAAACAAGAACAACTGTTAACACAGCCAGTTGATTTGCATATGCACCCCATCCCATTTGGCCTTTGTGGCACTTTAAAGTCAATTTCTTAAATGTAATTTTTACAATTTTTTAAGTTTGTCCGAACATACTCCAAAATTTGGTTTCGATGCACGTGCTTGGAAGAAGTATTTAGAAAAATATGAGATGCAGCTATTTTAATACATTAAAGGGTATGGGTGTAAAAGTACAAGAATCAGAAATCTACTAGCCTTCCTATTATGAATGTCATTAGAATGATGATAAGATATTTTGTGTCATTTTCTCAATTAAAGAAAAAGAAATGAGATGATATCATGTTAACCTACATAAGTCAACCATCAGGTGCGCATGGTAACTGGAGATAATCTTCAAACAGCCAAAGCAATTGCTGTGGAATGTGGAATACTTTCTTCAGATGAAGATAATGTTGAGTACAGTATTATAGAAGGGAAGACATTTCGTGAGTTGCCTGACAGAGAGAGAGAGCAAGTTGTAAAAAAGATATCGGTACGCTGTTGATGAAAATGAGATATATATATAATACCTTTTATCGCATCTCTTATTGCTGACTAAACGAGTAATGAGTATGCTTTGATTATGTACAGGTTATGGGAAGGTCATCTCCTAGCGACAAGCTTTTGCTTGTGCAAACATTGCGTAAACTAGGGGAAGTTGTTGCTGTAACTGGAGATGGAACCAATGATGCTCCAGCATTGCACGAGGTTTGATATCCTTACCATATTTATCATATATACACACATTTCTTGATGACCCATGTTAGTTGTATCGGGCACTAGTACAATGTTGACAACTGCATCTAAAAATCCCAAAGTACTATCCCTAGTAAATTTTAGATTCCTGCATCTTTAAGAAAGAAGTATATCCCATGTAGATATTTCAATATAATAGACTTAAGACCAAAGAACAAAACGACCCTGGAACACAAGTAGTTTACCTGTTCAGCTATTTTATACGATGATATACTGGTTATTTTGACCATTTCATTAGATTATTGCACCCGTCAATTTCCCCAAATGCTAGTTGGTTTCTTCTATTATAGTGAAAATGTTTTTTCCCCACTACTCTACTAGTAGTGGTTTGCTGCATGCTCCATCGTTTCACCTCAAAAATATGTCAGGCATTGAGTGGAATCAATTCGTTTCATCTAATACTAAAGTCAGGACTCAGCAATATATATCTGTGATATTTATGGTAATGCCATGTATATTTTTAATTTCATACAATTTTTGATTCTATATATGCAGGCTGATATTGGTCTTGCCATGGGAATACAAGGAACTGAAGTTGCTAAAGAAAGCTCAGACATCATTATTTTAGATGACAATTTTTCTTCAGTAGTAAAGGTTAGTGTTGGGGAATTTATTTCATCATCTAGGTAAAGTTTCATTGGATTCTTTAAGAGTTAGAATAGATCTCTCTTCTTACTTATATTATCTAATCTTAAATGGAACACAAATTTATTACACAAGAAACATTGTCAAGGGTTTTGCACATATTAATAAGCACTTGTATGATAATTCAACTTTTGTTGCCAAGTTATATATGTAATTTCTTCTTTAGCTTGACACAGTTCCATTTACTTGGCATAGGTTGTCCGCTGGGGGCGTTCTGTATATGCAAATATTCAGAAATTTATCCAGTTTCAGCTCACTGTTAATGTTGCAGCTCTTGTAATAAATGTAGTTGCAGCAGTTTCTTCTGGCGATGTTCCTTTAAATACCGTGCAGGTATCTTATTACTATCCTCCATAGTATTGTTTGTAGCTTTTAAATATCATAATCAGGAGAAAATATAAATAAAATTCCAAAAGACAAGTCTGGCACTATTTATCCAAAAAAAGTTTTGGCACTGAAATGCATTTAATGGAATCATGATTTGATATAAATTCAAGAATCTTAGAGATCCACAATCAAAGATGGAACCTTTTCCTAATTTATATTTGTATTTAAGTTGGGAATTCAGAGTTTGAATGTTGACACTTTGCTCCACTGATTTGCCTTTTGGTACAGCTTCTTTGGGTTAATCTCATCATGGATACTCTAGGAGCTCTGGCATTGGCTACCGAACCACCAACTGACCATCTTATGCATAGACCTCCAGTTGGTCGAAGGTTAGAACTCCTCAATATATCACACTCTCTTTTGATTTTGTAATAGCATGAGATGCATCACGCGATTAGTACACTCGTCCAAAGTTTTCATAACTTGATCACCTGGGAGTTGCCAGCTAGAAGTCTACATATAGAATGTTGTTACATTTTAAATCACCACATGGCCAGTAGCTTCATATAAAAGAAAGGAAAAGGTACGACTGTAAGAAGGAGGGCAAAACAAAGTGAAAACAATCTTACTTTTTGTCTAAGTATTTAATATGTGCAAAAACCCTGACAAACATGATCCACCCTCTCCGTTACGAGTCCAATCAATAACTGAAGCAAAACAAACTTGTATATGATAACTTTTGTTCCATCCATTTTGTTATAATAAGATTACTACTTGCTAAAGGCTCAGCGACATATTTTAAAGCTAAGTTTACAGTTCAAACTTCCAAGTTCAAAGTAATCTGCATGACCTTTAATCCAAATGGCCTTCAAACTAACCTGTATATATTCGATTGTCCGAGTATTGACCACAAGGTATGCGTATAGTTGGGAATTATAGGTTGTTTCATGTTTGTAATGTTCGACACTTAAATAAATTTTTAGGCTTTTTCACTGGTATCTGCATTCAATTTCAAGGCATTTGTTAGTTTTTTGTACCATTTGAAATGAGAACTATAGATACTTCTATGTAATGTTTTGACGATATTGAGAAACCTGATACACCTACAAAATTTGTTTATCAAATGAAGGCATTCTATTCATAATTCTCTGTCCTGCAAACTATATTTCCAGTTTCAAAATATGTCAAGTCTATTTAACTGGAGTATCCCTTTCGAATGGGAATGGCATAAAGAACTGTACCCAAAGTAGAATTTCTTCCCATGTTAGAAGCTTGTGTAAAGGATGCATGACCCTCTCTCGTTTATTTGTTTTCAAATGCTTCAGGGAGCCTCTTGTAACAAATATCATGTGGAGGAACTTGCTCATACAGGTCTGTTGGGTTATTATTTGTTGAATTTGGGCTGTTTATTTTTGTTCTTAAGAAATTTTGTTAATATTACTATTGTATCATCTATACTGCAGGCTATATATCAAGTTACTGTCCTCCTTATCTTTAACTTCTGTGGTAAGACCGTTCTCAACTTAAAGAATGAGCCATCGGAGCATGCTAACATGGTGAAGAATACCGTGATATTTAATGGATTTGTTCTATGTCAAGTAAGTACATTCTAATTGAAAATGAAAAAAAGGAAAATTTGAAAAACTTTGACAGCTTAATCCAAGAAGATAGAGCATGTCTGACTAAGCTAAGAAAAAGTAAATTTACTAATTTTTTTTTTTGATCATGTCTAGATAACTGACTTTTTTCTTACTTTTAAGTGAAAAATATTAATTTTTCTGAAAGTAAAGTCTTATCTCTCAGTTGAAATAAGTAACTTATTCCAAATTTGACCTAGAAAAGAACTATTTATTTTAAACTTTACTTACTATTAAACTTTTAAGCTTAGCCAAACATGATATGTTTTATTATATTTAAAAAAGGAACATGAAAATAGCACCTCAAAATTCCATGGGACGCCAGACTTACCAAGTTCATTATTTTCACTTGGCAATTTCAGATATTCAATGAGTTCAATGCTCGGAAACCGGATGAGATGAATGTCTTTGAAGGGGTGACCAAAAACCACTTCTTCACTGGCATTGTGGGAACTACATTTATATTTCAGGTGAGAGACCATAACATTTATAATTTCAGGGCTTTGAATTTTTATTCGAATAGTTCACCATTAACAAGCTCCTGATCTGTAATAGATAATTATCATCGAGTTCCTTGGAAAGTTCGCCACAACAGTTAAACTGAGTTGGAATCTGTGGCTAGTTTGCCTTGCCATTGGCATTTTCAGGTTCGGAGATTTAATCATAGTAATTATAGTTTGAAAATATTTATTCATTTAAGAATATTGGGACCATTGTGTAATGAGCCAAGGTAGCATAGAAGGGGGTGGTTATCTAACTAGTAAGCTTTCATGGGTGCTTTTTTTAAAAGATTGATGGCTATGCAATGTGTTTCAACTCTTTATTACTTCTTCTGCTGCAATCCCCTGCATGTTCTTTCACAAGATGCAGTGGTTAGTTATTGAACTTCTTGTAGTTTTCCATTAAAAACCAGACTTGAGATTTTTTCTAGTAGTAATACTCTAATATGTAGATTCCATGCATAGAAGTTTAGGTCTCAAGCACATGAACCATGAACTCTATACATCTTGAACGGGAAAGAATCAAGAGAAAAAAGAAGAATCGGATTTGATGAAATGAAAAATGTAGTACAAATCATAGACCAACTACTCCGCTTTTGGTGGACTTTCTTGGCATTTTCTTGAAAATCGGATGAAATTACTAATTCATTCCCAGTTACTTTTGAAAGTCTTTCATTTTCTCCTATTTTTATTTCAGAATAATCTTGTGTTTTACTCGATTTTATGACAATTATCTTCGGATACGTGGTAATTTTCTCTTGTTTCATGCAGCTGGCCCCTTGCCGTTGTTGGAAAATTGATTCCAGTTCCACAGACACCTCTAGCCAAGGTGTTCATTAAGCCATACCAGCGATGTGTTGCATCTCGTTGTAATTCTAATTAATATATATTATCCAATGTTTCCATCCATTAAGAAGCCTCACCAATTTCTTGAAGAGTCTTCTATGGAGAAAGTAAATGTCACTACTCATTTGGCTCTATGAATCTATTCCTGCACATATATATATATATGTAAATGCCACACTTTATCGAAGAGGGATTAAAATTCTATGGATGTATTAGAGCAAAAACTGGTGATTATTCATGTACAGGACATTTAAATGGAAAAAAAAAATTATTGTCGTATAACTGATGTTAATTGCTGTGAAGTGTGAACCCCTTTTTTTTTTTTTTGATTTTT